CCTTTCAATTATGTAAGCTGCCTTGGGTCCTTTTTAAGGACAAAGGGGGGTAAAGTAAATAAATAAGGCATTGTCTCACGCCAGAGGAAGAATCCAAGCCAGAGGGTTCAAACTACAAGAAAGGAGATTCTGACTTCAGAAACAACTTCCTGATGGCAAGTGCTCTTAAACTTTGGAATAGACTGTGTTGGAAGAAGCTGGGTCCCTCCTTCCTTAAACGGAGGTCCAATAGCTGTCTGACGGTGGTGCTTTAGGCACATATTTTTGGATTGTCAGAGTGAGATGGACTGAACACCCACAACTCCCACTTCGACAATTCTATGATGCTAAGAGCCTGGTGCAAGATATTTTGGGTGGGTATAATGCTGCTCCTTCAAGGATAGCTGCTTTATCATGGCGAAGGGGCTTGAGTCATTCGGAGAAGCTATGGGCTATGCCATGCGGGGACGCCCACGACGGACAGGTCATAGTGGAGAGTTCCGACTAAACGCAATCCACCTGGAGTAGGAAATGGCAATGCCACTCCAGTATCTTTGCCAAGAACGCCCCATGATCAGAAACAAAAGGCTAAAAGATATGACGCTGGAAGATGGGCCCCTCAGGTCAAAAGGCGTCCAACATGCTACTGAGGAAGAGCGGAGGACAAGTACAAGTAGCTCCAGAGCTAATGAAGTGGTTGGGCCAAAGCCGAAAGGACGCTCAGCTGTGGACGTGCCTGGAAGTGAAAGGAAAGTCCGATGCTGGAAAGAAAAATACTGCATAGGAGCCTGGAATGTAAGATCTATGAACCTTGGTAAGCTGGAGGTGGTCAAACAGGAGATGGCAAGAATAAACATCGACATCCTGGGCGTCAGTGAACTAAAATGGATGGGAATGGGCGAATTCAGCTCAGATGATTATCATGTCTACTATTGTGGGCAAGAATCCCGGAGAAGAAATTGAGTAGCCCTCATAGTCAAAAAAAGAGTGGGCTCACAAACAAGGAGCGGAGGCCACATACCTGTTAAAGGTAGACTGCTTTTGAAGAAAGAGGTACCATTACCATTGGCAGACCTATCTTCTGTTTTAAAAAACGTCATCTTCTTTGACAGCTATGAGTCTATTTGACATTTTAGAGCTTGGAAAAGTTTTATTTTGTTTTGCAGTTCAACCCTCCTAATCCCTCAAGCAACAGGCCTGTAACTTACTTTTATTTATTTATTGAAAATATTTTTACCCTGCTTTTCTCCAGTGCATATTGACATCCAATATGCAGTGTAAATATTGCAGATTTTGGAGGGACAAGGCTGAGAGATGGCACCAATATTGAGAAGCAACGGGTTCATAAGGAGCATTTAATTGCTCGAATTCAGACCAAATTAGATGCAGCGTCTATTTCAGAATGAAATCATGAGAAAAATACATTGATGTCAGTAGGAACATTGTGCAACTAATTTAGTGTGGATACAGCCCTGAAATTTGATCTCTCTCTCTCTCTCTCAATCTCTCTCTCTTTCTCTCTCTCTCTCTTGCGTGCACGCGGCAGTATTGCTTCCTGAATATATCAAAAAAGATCTTAACACATCCCTCCCCTGGCAATCTTTTTCTTCCCAGGACATTTAATCTGCAAAGGATGCTTTTTACCAAGGGAACATTAGCTTGCCCCTGGGCCTCTGTTGAGCCCAAGTTACCCCCATCCTTTGCCCATTTTTATAAATTATCTGAAATGTCCCTGAAGGCTCAAACATGTAGCTTCTGAGAAATGCTTCGGTCCCGGCAAACCACCACAGAAAGAGCTGCGGAGCATCCAACAAAAATGTACCAAATGATGTCCACAGGCAATCCTATCAGAAGCTGGTTCTGGTTCATTGGGAAGAGAAGCCATCTCTATACTGTTTCGTGTAGCGAGCCGTGATGAAGAACAAGGATAGAGTTGGTTGCTGCAGGGATTGCTGGATTGCAGACTTTCTGCTTTGGAAGGTCTGCAAGACTAGCACAAAGTGCAAACGGAGCCAAATGTACCTCTCGGGTGGGGGGGGTACAGGTGCTTTCCTGGGAGAGGGGCCTTGAGCTGCAGGACTTCCCTGTCAAGCCAGATCAATGTTGCACTGGTGACTCAACTCAGACTTGACTGGTTTCTTTTTTCTTTTTTCTTTTTTTTCAGTGACTTGGACTCCTGACTTGGAATCCACCCAGCCACCTCTCCTTTTTTTTTCCGGGGGAGGGGGAAAGCTTGTTTTTAAGAGGGACTTGAGACTTCAGACTTGGTACCGAAGACCCAGACTCAGCTTTTGGGACTTGGACCTTAAAGACGTGTCAACATCCCTGGTGCTTTCCGTGCAGGACATCTGAGGGTTTACTCTCCAGCCCTCCTGGTTAAAAAATAAAAATATTGCCCGGAAAGTCTGGAGAAGACCCTTGGCTGAGACTTTGGATTGCTGCTTCCAGTCGGTAGAAGCCATACTGGGCCGGAGGCAGCAGGCGCCATGTAGTGGGTCAGAGTGTCTGACCAACACAGGGGAGACCCAAGTTCAAATTCTCACTCGGCCATTAAACTGAGCTTGGGGATTCTGTCTCTGGGAACGTAGGAGACTCCGTTAGGCTGAATCAGAGCCTTGATGTGGCTCGCCCAGTATTGTTGGATCTTGGCAAACTTCCTATTGAGATTCGAAGCAGAAGGTCCTGCTCACATAACACCATAGGGTCCCACTTTTGCCAGTGTTAGCTCTGCACAGGTTTTCCTTGTGGAGGTGACCCACCTGCCTGTGCAAGGGTCATGCGCGCGCAAGTGGGTTTCAGACTTGATGTTCTCCTAGCCCTGCCTGGAAATATCTAGCATTACCTGGACGTCTCCCCTCTCTCCCCCAAGGAGACACCAACCCGGACTAACCCTCATTCTGAAATGTGGCATGATCGGTGTGTTCAGGATGGTTAGGTTGACGTCTCTGAGCCTAATTGGCCACACCGTGTAGTCCCCAGGATCCGATCAGAGTTTTCGGGAAGTGGAGGAGAAGCAATGGGATAGGGACCTATCAGGATGGTTAGGTTGACGTCTCTGAGCCTCATTGGCCACACCGTGTAGTTCCCAGGATTCGATCAGAGTTTTGGGAAGTGGAGCAGAAGCAATGAGATAAGGATCTATTAAGTAAAATAAATAAATGGGAATGGTCTGACATTCACGTAACAGGGCCCCTGTCTCTAGGACATGATCTGTGTCGAAGCAGACTGACAATTGGTTACGGGCATTTCTCTTTCAGTCCACTTTTGTGGACTTATTCTGTAATAGGCTAGATGTGAGTGAGCCTCAGCTCCACGTGTGCAGAAGTTGATGAAAGCGATTTGCAAGGGTCAGCCTGTGCTCTTTGATTTGTCCCTTCTGTTTGGGATTTTTTCCCCTCTCTCTTCAAGAGCCGTGCAAACATAATGCTGTAATTCAGCTCGGTCGGGCTTGGCGTGATGAAGCTTGACAACAGAAAAGTGATGCCAATTGTTTCAGTGCCCCCATAGGAACTAATGCAAAGCTGGTTAATACGTACTCTACCACTAGGGGGAGAATATTTTTTTAACCTAAGATGACCTAAGGTTAAAAAAAGAGCAGGAAAGTTTTTTTTTTCCTGTTCTTATCTGGATTTTTGTTCTCAAGTAGAAGCAAAATTTAACAAATGGAGCTGTTCTTAAGTGGAATTGTTCTTAAGTAGGGACGTTCTTAAGTAGAGACCCCACTGTAAAATAAATAAATGAGAATGGTCTGACATCCATGTAATAGGACCCCTTGTCTCTAGGACATGATCTGTGTTGAAGCGGACTGATTATTGGTTAAGGGCATTTCTCTTTCAGTCCACTTTTGTGGACTTATTCTGTAATAGGCTAGATGTGAGTGAGCCTCAGCTCCACGTGTGCAGAAGTTGATGAAAGCGATTTGCAAGGGTCAGCCTGTGCTCTTTGATTTGTCCCTTCTGTTTGGGATTTTTTCCCCTCTCTCTTCAAGAGCCGTGCAAACATAATGCTGTAATTCAGCTCGGTCGGGCTTGGCGTGATGAAGCTTGACAACAGAAAAGTGATGCCAATTGTTTCAGTGCCCCCCTTCCCTCCCCCCCCCATTCTCAATGTAAGACAGCCTTTTGGCGGCGAGAAAAGAAAGCAGAATGCACCAAAATTAGCTGCCTTTGCACAATGCGTCTAGAATGACATCTTCCTACAGAAACGGTGCCTTTTGGACTTCAGGATTTCTGGAATGGTAACCGTGACCTAAAGGGAGGATGGATTATCCCATGACTCTCTTGTCTGCCCAGGTCCGTATTCTGGACCGAGGACCCTGTTAACTCCATCCTAAAAGAGGATGCAGTCTGATCCACTGTTTTCCACTCTTCAGCCTGAAATTTGAGAAAGAGGGTGAGAGACTGGGTGCCCAGGAATCCGTGGCACTTCCGCATCTCTTAAACAGAGGTGCAGTGGAGAAGGACAAGCCTAGACAGAGGATAAGGTTTGTCCTTGGCAGCGCTAGTCCACCGAGGTTCTGTTCAAAGCATTAGAAAAGCCTTCCCGAATGCATTAGAAAAGTCTTGCTGTGTTTCGTAGTCCAGCATTCTGTTCTCATCGTCAGGGCTGTAACTAAGGGGAGGGCGTAAAAGTATTTTGGCCCCCCAAGGCGCCAACATTGAAACAGCACCAAAATTTAGAGGTTGTGCTTTCTTCAACCAACAGCTCTTGCAAACAGAAGCCTAGGGTTTCCTTTAGGGAATCAATCCATCTTATATTTGGTCCTCCTCTTTTCCTGCCACCTTCAACTTTTCCCAGCATTATGGTCTTCTCCGGAGAATCCTGCCTTCTCTTTGTTACTTTTATCTGGTTACCTCTGATCTTTGAACAGGCCTTTTAAAGCGCTCCACGGATGCAATGTGTCTTTACGGCTACATCTCTGTCTTGCTTTTACTCACGTTCTCCCGCCGAACAGGGTCACCGTGTGTGAAACCAAATGGGAAAACAACCACACATTTGATGGCACGATTTCTGTTTTGCAGACACGCACACCTTGTATGTGAAAATAGAAAATGCCAGACGAAGCAAGCGGTGGTCTGTTCAGAAGACTCTCCTGCACGAACCCATTCCACACCATCAAAGTGAGTAATAGCTTGTGCTCGTCCTACATCAACACCCCTCCACAACCCCCCCTGTGTTGCCATTCTCCTTCATTAGAACCCCTGGGAAGGAAGGAAGATGGAGAGCTGGCTTCTAGTGGCACCCCCTGTTTTCCTGTAAGTGTTCTTTTGAAAAGCAAGCTGCTTTTTGGAGAGGGTCGAGAGGCCAAATGCAGGCTTAGAGACAAGAAAAGCCTTCGCCAAAATGGGCTGAGCTTTAAAGGGCACGCGGCGGCTCCTTTCTAAAGTTCAGCTTTTCAGGCTCAGCATTCCATTTACCGGCACGTAAGTGCTCCAGGCTGAATGCAATGGGGCTGCTGCCATTCACAGAGGATGGAATGAAGAATGCTCACAAAGTGGTTTAGGGTTATTCTTTTTTAAAAAAAAAATGGGCAGGCTCTGAGGTGGATTTAACTGCTTCCGCAGCACCGTTCGGGTTGGCGAAGAGCTTTATTCCTCATGAAGATGACTAAAAAAGTCACCTTGAGGCGTGCCGATGCACACACAGGGTGAATTCTTGACCCCCCCGCCTGCTCCTCACGCCCTTGCACCCGTACCCAGAACCAGCTGCTGAGCATGTCCAAGCCATTCACCCACCTGGCCCATGGGTTCTCTGTGACTTCTTTCCCAGCAGATGGACGGGACCCACCCTCCTCTTATCCTATCCTTTGCAGCAGGATTGTTCCATGTGGTGGTGGTGGGGGGGCTGTGGCTACAGCTTGCAGGATGTCAGCATTTAAAAATAGATATTCTGTGCAGGTGGAAGGATTGAAACATTCCAGGGTTTAGGGTTTGGGGTGGGTTTTTTTAAAAGAAAAAAATCATTGCTAAAATGTATCTCAGACCAGGTAGAACTTAGGGAGAAGTGGAAATACGTGCCACAAGACTCCACAATGAGTGATGGGCATGAACTACTGTTTCAGCAGTTTGTGCCAGTATTGTTTTGTTTTTTTGTCCAAGCAAGTGTTCGGTGCTTCCCAGCCCTGCTTCCCCTGGCAGATACCCACTCAGAGGCAGGTTTGCTTCCCAGCCCTGCCTCCCCTGGCAGACACCCAAACAGAGGCAGGTTTGCTTCCCAGCCCTGCCTCCCCTGGCAGACACCCACTCAGAGGCAAGTTCTGAGTAGAGGCTTGACTGCAGTAATACAGTTTAACCCCTGTGTCATGGGACTATTCCATTCACCAATATCCTGAAGTGGCTCTCTTCTTAAGTGACTTGACAATACTGGGAGACTGACAGCAAGCTGTTATGGATCATGTAGCATCGTATGAGGTCCATATGCCATTTGGATGCAGGGCTCTCTCCAGACGGCATAGGGAACCTCCCGGCAACCCTATTTGGCCTCACCCAGCATGCTCCAAAGTGGGCATCTGGATAAGCCCCAAGACAAAATAATGAACAATAACAACAACAACAACAAACAACAAAGAAAGACAACATAAATATCTCATAAATCACACAATCAGAACTACAATAACAACAAAAAGAGAGAGGCAATATTAGGAACAGCATCTACACCGTGTCGATATTTAACAGACCGACAGGTTTTGGGTTAAAACTTGCAGCTGTTAAACAACACCAGTCAGTGTTTTTATAGTTTTGATTGACTCTGCCTGGCATTTTTTACTAATAGTCATTGTAATAGTAATACCACCAAGTTGATTCTAATGTACGGGGACCCTTTTCCAGGGTTTCCTAGGAGCAGAAAGTATTAAGAAGTGGCTTCCCCTCCCCTTCTTCTGGTGGCACCTCTGGGACTGTGCAGTTCGCTCAAGGCCCCCCAGGCTATCTTCATATGACTTTGTGCACATCTCTTCACTGAAAGGCACGGGAAGTCTCAGGAATGCGTGGCTTTGGGGAGCATGATGTGCTTCATCTCATTCACTTCTTTGCCAAACAGCTCCTACCCAGAAGGGAAATGAAGTCCAGCAGAAGACACCTGTTCCATTTCTATCTGTAGTCAGAGTCCTTCCTTCCTTTTATCCATCATCAGCTCCTTCCTTCCTTCCTTCCTTCCTTCCTTCCTTCCTTCCTTCCTTCCTTCTCAATAAACAATGCCATATAGCTGAGTGGCTTACTAGGACACATATATGTTTTACTGTGTGAGGATTTAGATTAAAAGAGTGACGCAGAGGGAGTTAATTAACTCTGCTTCCTCATCTTGCTTCCCTGATTTTCAAAGCAATTGTAGTGGGGGGCTGTCTTTAAAATGGTTATTTGTAACAGTATATCTATGTTTATTATTTGCAGGAAAAAGAAAGGAAAAAAAGAGAGGGTGGGAGGGAATGAAATATTTAGGTGTCCCCCCCCCTTAAGCGGGCTAGATGGAGGAAAGGTCTCAGTCTGTGCCAGGCAGATTCCAGTGTTTTCTCTGCTGAACATCTTGGCTTCAGCATCTCCCCCTCAATGCTGTTGCTCTTGGATGGTTGACTCCTGGCAAGGGTTAAGGTTAAAAGGGCACAGAGTCTGTTGGCGTGGGACCAACTCCAAAGGCTTGATATAGCGTATGCCTCTCCTGAAGCTTGGAGTCAGATTTGGATAATGAAGCTTCCAAGAGCACTCTGTTAGTGGAAAACAAACCTTGGCGCCCAAGATAACAAGTTACACAGAGTCTCTTATCTGGTCATTTCAAATCCTCCCCTTAATAAGCAGAGCAAAGACGCAGATGTAGGAGAAAAATACACTGAGAGAATTCTAATAAGACGTATAGCATAATATATTAGACTTGGTCAGACATATATACATGGCGATATATACACAGGCATAGATCTCTCAGAGCAACGTAACAGTCACATCCAAGTAAAGTCATGACCCCCAGACTCACTACTGAGTAGCCGAGTGCTGCTCTCACTCCCTTGCTTAAATAGTGAGAGCAGCCGATCACTGCAGCCACGGCAGCTGAACGTGATCGACAAGCATTATCTAAGCTTGTCCCATCTGTATGCCATCAGTCATCCATTGACTCAACGTTTACAGGCATGGCTTTGCATGCTTTACTACAATATTAAATTTAACCCCTTGTTCACTTAAAGGAACAAATCCTGACAGAGTCACCTAGCAGTTTGTTCTCTCAAGGTCACTGTGTGGCCGGCATGGTACAGGAAAACAACCAGTTGTGTGTCTGGATGATGCCGTACACTTGCTGAAGCTTAGCAGATCTGGTCCCCATCTGGAGCCCTATAGTGGAAGAAAAGCAGGATGGAGATATGATAAAATACAATCCTTAAATGACAGAGTCTTGTCTGTAACACTGTACTGTATATGCACAGATTTAATTCTCAAGCAGGGCAGTGGGAGCTGGGGCATTACCGTGGCCAGCTGAGAAAAGGGCCCAAGGAATTGATGGCAGTGGGGAGACAGGGAAAGGAAGAGGCAGATGGACGTGGCCCGTGGGTTCTTGGGGGGGGGACTCTCCTGTGGCCTGGAGAGTCTGTCCAGTGGGAAGCAAGGGAGGAGAGAGCTCACCGGATGCTGCAGGGAAAAAAAGGCCCCGTTTTTACCCGAGTTCTAGTTCCCTTTCTTCCATGCTACAGTTCTTCGTTGTGTGCCAAGGGTTCCTGCAACTCACTCAGCTGCTGACATCGGGCTATATGAAAAGCACAATTTCGACCATCGAGAAGCGCTTTGGGCTGTCCAGTCAGACCTCCGGATTGGTGGCTTCCTTCAACGAGGTACTGCCTTTTATACTCGGATCTTGTCCTCCGCTGTTTGTTGCTTTTGAAAAGATGTCACTTCTTTAGAGGGTTAAAAGTCTTCTCAAACTCTCGTCTCGCTCCCCAGGTGGGCAACACCATGCTGATCATCTTTGTGAGTTATTTTGGCAGCCGTGTCCACAGGCCCCGTTTCATTGGTTTCGGTGCCATCCTTGTTTCTCTGTCTGGACTGATCATAGCTCTTCCTCACTTTATCACAGGACCCTATGAATATGAACGTTTCGCTTCTGGTAAGAATCCCTGTTCTATCGACCTTCTCAATGAACAAGCAGATTGACTGGGGCCTTTTTTCATTATGGGATTTTATGATCACCCTATGAATATGAACGTTTCGCTTCTGGTAAGAATCCCTGTTCTATCGACCTTCTCAATGAACAAGCAGATTGACTGGGGCCCTTTTTCATTATGGGATTTTATGATCTCTTATTTT